ATTATACACTAGAACAATTATGTCCGCAGTTACACAGCTTAAAAAAAAAAGTTACCAAATCTAGTTACATCTACCGAACGTGAATTCCTTATACAAGATGATAATAGTTATTTACGTGGCAAGCTTAGTAAATTAGCCTTTACGGGCGAGCCGGAATGTTTGCAGGGCGAGCGACGTAGGAGCGAGCCCTGTAATCCGGTGAGCCCCAGTAAAGGCTAGTTGCAAGCGAGCCGCGTACAACGTTTTACTTCCTCTTGCTGAAAATTCTGAAAATGAACAACTTTGGCATCTCTAGAAATTTTACTTGAAATTACAGTCATAGAAATTATAGTCATTTTTCATAGTTTGCTCCGGTAACTATGGAAAATTGAATTGTTTGAAAATAACGGGACTGTCAATTTGTAAATTCGATTAATAATTTAAATAGTTTAATTTTGTTTCTGAGCTCTGTTAATTGTGAAATTCGATGAAGATGAAGACTTTGAAGGTGATTTTAACGTTAGTATTAGCACAGTATTAGTGAGATTAAGAAAAAGGCCGACGCAGCGAATGTGTTTGATTCCGGTGCTGTCATGACAACGTTTTACAGGCACGGTGCCTGTAAAGCTGCCACGGTAACGCAGGCAGGGTGCGTGTAAAGGCTAATTTACCGAGTTAGTTCAGACGACAGTAAACGAGCTTTAACAAGACAAGAGGAAGTAAACAATTTTTAAAACACTTTTACACTTTTGAACTTGACTTTACGAAAACCCAACACGAACTAATTGATACAGGAAGAGAACTCGAAAAGAAAGTTGTAGGAGGGCTTGGTGTATTTTCTTTGGTGGTTTACGCAGAAAAATAGTTTTCGATTATTGAATTATCGGCAATTTGGTAACGAAATTCCCCCGACTCTTTTACCCAAAACTCAACTGTTACCTTGTTCCCCAGTTCGAATAGAATACTACACTTCTGATTTTCTTTTAAATTTTACAATCTACCCATTTTACAGCAAATAAAATAAGTCAGTGAAATGGAGAAAAGAGATGGAGGGAGGAGAGTTGGTTTACCTTTTTTCTGAAACAGAAACTTCATTTTTGTGACTAGTCTTGATATTGTTCAGTCTTATCTTAGAAAATTCTAGCCCCGCCCACCCGCCCTCGATTTTCATGGAAGGTACATTATTGGTCAAAATCAGTCTTATCTTAGCAATTACTAGCCCCACTCATCCGTCCTTTATTTTATTAGAGGGTATATCATAGGCCAACATCAGTTTTATCTTAGCAAGTACTAGATAAATTTTTTTTACAATTGTATTAGAACCATTAAGAGTGAAAAATCTTAACATGTAGTGAATTTACAAACAACGCAACCAAAAAAAATGTGTTGACGAATAGGTCACAACCTTTCACATTATAAAATCGCTAATTAACTGTTCTTCCACTAATTACACTCTTTGAGCGGGACAGTGGCATCGAATGCAATTTATTTTTGTTTAAACAATTGCACTTTCGTGAAACTACAAACCAAGTTAGACGTACCCTTAATTTTTAACACGTACTCTGTTTTCAGTGTACTCACTAAACAAGAAGTAAGTAGGTTAAGTGATCTTCCTCCTATACGTTCCAACCCTAACTACCAACCCAAAGAGTGACATTGACTAATTTCCTAAAGGCTCTGAACATGGGTCATTGTTTACATTATTAAAATGAATGGCCACTTTTATATTTTCTCGACGTTTCATTACCCCTACAGTACGAAAAAAGTAGTCTACCGTTTCCGGCTGTCTGTGTGTCTGTCTGTCTGGTGTCTGTATCCATTTTTAGACACGTAATCTCCGGAACTGTTGGACCGATTGTTGTCAAATTTTGTATGTGCATTAGAAATGTCATGTAGATGGTTAAGTGCTAAACAAAACTTTGCTAATCGTCCCCACCAACAATTTGATGACATCATTTCAAAGAATTCTATCTTTATTTGATTCAACAGTTATACAACAATATATTACTATACGTGTGGTGTACGAATCCGCTTTGAATTTTTTCCCTAATCGTAACCATTAGGTTGTCTAGTCGATAAAAGTGTGGGTTCGATGCCAAACTTGTCCTTCGTTTTTTTTTCTTTTTCTCTCGCTTATGACGTCATAATATTTTTTTTATTGATCAAATTAAGGAAATGTGAGAATACGCACGTCTTTATATAATAATGATAAAATAGCAATTATAATATTCAGAAGACTTTGTTCTATTGCGGTTTAATTAGTAATTTTAGTCCTCTGTTTTGAGAAGGCTAACTCATTCAAATCAAACTAATTTCTCCGTGACATTCTTTCGATGTATAAACATAAATAAACACTCGAGCTTCAGATTGCTATTACCTAGTGCTGAAGGACATTTTATCCCGTTAGTTAAGTGCTTTAAATATATTTTACATTGTCCGTATGGCGCAGTTTTTTACTTTACAGAGGTTATTTCCAAACGAAAATCGTAAAATAAAATTTTATAATTGTTTTAAAGAACTGGATTTGTCCGATTATACTTCAAGGGCGAAATAGCCTTGGACCAATTTTTCTTAATGCGAAATTCAATTTCTAAATTAAGACACCACGATATTTTTCATTACTAAAAAATTTTACGAAATTTCATATCTTTAATCACTATACTGGGTGATTCAGTTTGGTATTTACATACATTAACCCTTAAAGCTAATGGCACAGGTGTGATACTAAAATTTTATTTAACGTTTTTTGGACTAATGTATAGATCGAACTTAAAAATCAGAAGTTAGGCCTAAGTTAAGTTCATTCTCGGGACTAATGTACTATGAATCAAAATTAATGTAACTTCTTTATTTATTTATATTTTATATATTATTTATACATTAGTCCAAAATCCCGAAAACGAACTTAACTTAAATTATTATTAACTATTATTATTAAATAATTCCCTGAAATGCTGACGTTAGTTTTTTGGTAAGCAGAAATGTGTTGATGTACAGGGTGAGTGACTAAGGGTGCGCTTTTCTATATCCCATTAATTATTATTACAGATGGAAAAACGGCAAAGACCAAAGTTGTACAGTTCTTTGAAGACTAAAATTATTTTTAAGTATGTTTGCAGAGTGTTCTTTTTCAAAGCATAACACACCACTTAGTTTTATTAAATGAAGCACCTGATATATTTTTTCATGATGTCATTAGCCTGTTCCTAGGCTTTGTAACAATAGTTAAGTTTTGATATTCTGATGCGACGTTGCCACGTTATTCCCATTTTCTTGAAATTTTTTGGCAGTGGGAGGGTTCACAAAAAATCATAATTGGTTAATTTGAAAGTCTGTCTTACAATATTTTGTGGAAGGATAAATAAAAAGACGCGATTTGTATAGAGAGTGTTTATAAAAAAGTTTGTCAAACAGAACACCCTGTACTCTATTACTTATCTTATTCTATTTTTTGTTCTCATTCTTCTAACATTTCAATGAAAAAGTAAAAAATCGCAGTAATTATCTACTTTAAATATAGAAAATACTTAAAAAAAGAAATAAAACAAAATGTAGTATGAGTTGTAGTACTAAAATATAGCACGTCCTATTTAAGAACACTGAAATATGGATATTTGAAAATTGCATGCATCTATATCTGTGATTTATTAATCCGCCTCTAGAATTTTTTAAACGTATGCATCTAGGTTTTTAGGAAAAAATCAACATCTTACAAAATTTTACAGTTATTTGGCTTGGACATTATCAAACTCATTGCTTTGTAAATTTTCACATGATTTTAGGTTATCGTGAACATGCTAAAACATTAATCAGAATTTATGTGTTCATCTCTTCCAAAGATTTGATGATGTCATCTCACAATTTTGTTAAGTAAAGTTTGTTTGAAATTTATAGTGTGGCATGCTCCTTTGCTGTGATTTAATACTGTTTCCATATATTTAATGATATGTATTCGAGTTATCGTAAAAAATAAAATCTGTAAAAGCAAATTTTACAGTTGGTCTTATCGTTTCCGAAACAAATTTTTTAAAGGGTGAATTTTGTGAAAATTTAATGTTGGTTGAATGATGCAGAACAAGAAATAGAACTTAGTGATTCATCTTCCCCACAGAAGCAAGAAAATTAAAAAATATTAAATGAGATTTACTTAAAACAGCTTTAAAGTGACGTCATCAATTTGTTCAAAAGATGGGTGAACAATTTTAGAAACGCCAGCGTCCAGGGTTAAATAAGTTACAAATATTTCAATCAGAACTGACCACTTCAATAATTTGTAATCCATTGCCGAACAACGTGCTGCAAAGTGCTCTTTAATCCCAGTTCGCCACCTCTTCACCGCCCATAGCTTAGGTCAGTTTCTGTTTACAATTAGGCCAAACCGCCCCCGGGCCGCCCCAATAAAGCCGAAAATCGATTCGGAATCGCAAACGATCGCCAACAATCCCGGCATTGATTAACAGATTTATAACATAGCAAACATCGCTGCGGCAAATGTGGCAAATTCTGCTTCGACATAAATTTTCCAATAAGCGCAGCTAACAAGGCATCACCGCATTTGACTCGGCGTTCCACTCGGTTTTCTTATAAATCCTGGACTATTAACTACTCAAGAAGCTGCCATCCTCTGAATAGGCTCTCGGCGCGGCAACGGAATTTATTGTCAACTTGTCCCATCATTTGGACGCGCCAGGTGCGGTTTCTGCTTAACAAGATCGGCCTTAACACCTGGTTGTTTATTAATCATCATCCTGCAATAATCCTAAGTAGAAAATTAAATTTAATGCTCTTAGGATAGTTGTATATGTACCCGTTGACGACAAATTTATAGTTTTCAGTGAAACTCTATTTGTATCCTATTTTTCATCTTTTTTAAGTGTCATAAAAATGAACAAGATGCTTTTTTGATCACTCGTTGCGTATAATCCTGTGAGCATTAAATCTAATTCTGTATGGGATTCTGATGTGACACTCAGATCTGCGTGAACTAAGGGTAGCTTAATGCGTTTGTTTTTTCTTTGTAGATATCCTGAATCGAGGCTGGCGAAGTTGTTTAATGGAAGTATACCGATCGTCCTGGACTCCCTCAAACAGCACTACTTTATTGATAGGGACGGGGGCATGTTCAGGCATATATTGAACTTCATGCGAAACTCAAGACTGCTTATACCGGAGAATTTTACGGATCTGGATTTACTTCTGGAAGAGGCGCGATACTTTGATATTGGACGTAAGTGTGCAACAAAAATTAACAGTTTCCCAAGTGATATCATTTTATTACTACTCTACATACAAATTGATACATTAAAAGTCACTAACAGTTGCTGCAGTTTATCAAACCACGTCAGAAATTTATCAAAATGCCTGTATGTGAAGTAGGTTAGAATTTAATTTTGTACAAATCAAACTTTGACCGCCATCAGCACACCGAAATAAAAATTAAACTGCCAAACAGTCAGAGGTGTACCTTTTCCCCTATCCCCACTTCATAATAATAAATTATGCATTAAATTGCAGATATTAAATTTGGCGGTTACACCGAAATGCATAATTAGTTAAAGCTAGAAGTTATTAATTTAATTTTACTTGTTGATCAGCCACCGAGACAACTTCTTGTTCAGTGGATTATAGACCGTAACTTAAAACTTCCGTGTCTTTTAATAAACCATTATTCGACTACTTTAACTTTTTTTTGCGTTAAATGTTGTAACAATCTTGGCAACTTTTATTTAATTCAAGTTTTTAATTATTATTTACAGCGCCGCTTATTTCGCATATTCTTTAAATACTCTTGGAATGCGTTAATGATCTTAAAACCTCCAAAATTGCAGCATTTATCTGCGACGTTTTGTTACTAAATGTCCGCAGATGGAATTACATTTTCAAAATAAAAAAATGCCAGCAACCGGTAGTTCGTTTCACAAGAAGTGCACTTAAGATATTTGTATCAAATATTTTTGATATTTCTCAAATCGTTTCACTTCTCCCAACCGATAATTTTTTTATTATTTATTATCTATATTCATGCTAAAACTAACGCGCTTGTTTAATCAACACTTTTTTATTGGTGATAGATTTGTGGCGCTTAATATTCAGTACTTTTTTTACGAAGATTTCCTGATAAAGCTATCAAATTTACTGTACGGTCAAAAAAAATTGATGGTTTCATTGCCAGGCACAAAATGGATCAGTTTCCGACATAAAAAGACTAATTAGAAAATCATATCTCTTTCGGGTTTTTTTTTTCAAAAAGTCGTTTGAGATTCCTTGTTTAAGTGTGGTGTCAAAAATTCAACATCTTAGTTACGAGCATGATAATTTTTGTATATTTTAAAATAATTAATTGGACTGGATCTTTAAATTTTTTAGCCTTGCTGTTTTTCAACTTTGGAAATATCATTAGATAGAAAAGTCAATAGTTGCTACAGTGTAATATAAAATTAATTTAGTTGGTAAACAAACCACAGTGACACCTGCCGATGCAAAAACCCTTTAGTCTAGAGGCAAAGAACTAACATCTAGAAAGATCTATTCTTTGTTATTCTCCGGTTGTTGGCAAACAGGAAAAGAGTTAACTAATTTCAATTTGATTGATGGATTCTTTAAATGAAAGTTGAACTGAAATTCTCATTATGGCTGCATGTTTTTATAAATCAGAGCTCAGCAGGAAGTATGTGATTTATTTAATAAGAAGTATCCGAATGATTTGCCAAATAGTCCAAAGCAAGTGAGACGATTGCAGAAAATACGTACATTAACGCTCTACCAAAGTAGTAGAAGAGGATTTATATATCTGTATTTATTATTATTACTGTCGTCGCCATTGATCAATTACAGACTAATTTATTACACAAATATTGATTATTCCTGGCTCTTACTATAACCAGTAGCAACTGCCATTGTTACTACCTTTAGAAAAGGATGAACTTGATGTTCATTAACAATAATGAACAAACACAGCATGTACTTACTCTCCAGGAGTCAACAAATAGCGTAGGTCAGATATATGAATTACAAATATGTCAATAGTACGGTCTTCAACTAAGTAGTGACTAATCATGTTATTTGCGGATGATATTGTCAAAGCATTTGTTCTAGCCGTTTCCAAGTGGAGTGTGTTTATGTCTTCTGCTATTAAAACAATAAAAAATAAATGACTAGTCAACATTTATCTCTATTGATTTGCATATTGCTTCTGTATTTCTACAGTTTTTCAAAGTTATTATTGGCTGATCAATTTTCAAATCATCCGCATATAATAGACAAGGAATGACTAACTCTGACGTAAAAGAAACGATCTGCTAGAAGAGAGACATCCACTTCATGAAATTACCCTTAATATCTAATTCGTTCAGTATATGTATTAATCTTGAATGAGGAACTTTGTCGAATGTCTTTTGACAATCTATAAAAATACCATCAAGGGAATCGCTGCAGTTAATAGCTTTTTTTTTCGGGGTGAATAAACAGATACATTTTAATTAGAGACATTATATATTATGCTTTTTTTTTCTTATTATACGTAGTCATCTGTTTTAAATTTTGGTTGTGAAAAGATGACTACGTATATTAAGAAAAAAAAAGGTAAAATATAAGCCCCACCCACCCACCCTGTCTCAGTTGTGATGATTTTTTTATTCGCCGTGAGCCAAGAGGGCTCACAACAAGCTTTAAATTTTACATGTTTGATTCAGAATTGGCCCTTATGTGTATTAAAAATTAAAGCTAGATTGGAACCAAGGTGAATGGATGGGGCTTATCTTTTGGCTTTCTTTTTTACCTAATACATATAGTTTGCTTTAGACAACACGATTAATCAAGAACATGATTCACATAGCAATTTCTAGTAGGAAAACAAGGATTTTGCTATTAAAAGCTTCGCCCCACGACTTACGACGGGTAAAAAAAATCATCACGATTGAGATAGGGTGGGTGGGTGGGGCTTATATTATGCCTTTTTTTTCTTAATACAAGTAGTCGTCTGTTTTAAATTTTTGTTGTGGAAAGATGACTACGTATATTAAGAAAAAAAAAGCAAAATATAAGCCCCACCCATCCGCCCTCTCTCAGTTGTGATGATTTATTTTATTCGTCGTGGGCCAAGAGGGCGGAGCTTAATTGCAGAATCTTTAATTCTCTACAAGAAATTACCATGTAAGACATGTTTTTGAGCATCGTGTTATTCAAAAATTATTATAGGGGCAATTCTGAATCAAACCTGTTAAATTTAAAGGGTGTTAAATTGCAAATTTCCATAGTAACAAATTAAATTCGTAATTCTGATTGGCACTTTATTTTTTAACAACCTTAAAATTTTACATGTTTCATTCAGAATTGGCCCTTATGTATATTAAAAATTAAAACTAGTTTGGGATCAAGGTGGATAGGTAGGGATTATCTTTTGGCCTTCTTTTACTTAATACTTTAGTTTGCTTTAAACGACACAATTACTCAAGAACATGATTCACATAGCAATTTCTAGCAAAAGAAGGATTTTGCAATTAAGCTCCGCCCCACGACTTACGACACGTAAAAAAAATCATGATGATTGAGATAGGGTGGGTGGGCGCAGGTTATACTGTGAGGTTTTTTTTTTCTCTGGACATAGGATAATTAATGTTAAGTTGGTTGCATACCTGCTTGTAATGGATTGACTTGGACTTTTAAAAACTGAACATAAAATCTGATCGAGATTTTGGGTTATGTCAAAGATATTGCCATTATTGACCTTTGGCACTGTCTTCATGTTAAGGTATTGTAATAAGTACAAGTTTAAAGAACAGAAAATTTACGTTATTGACCTTTTTAAAACAATTTCGTCAAAAATTTTAATGCAAATGTCATGTAAATGTCATCGTTGACATGGCCTACTCGCCTACTCATGAATTATTACGAATCTAATGTTCAATTTTTAAAAGTCCAAATTAATCCATTGGAGGATGAATATGCAACCCAATATACATAAATTATCCTATGTTCAGAAAAAAAAAACCTCGCGGTATAGAATGCCTTTTTTTCTTAATATACGCAATCATCCGATTTAAATTTTTGTTGTGAAAACATGACTACGTATACCCCACTTAGGTATGCAAATTTCGACCCATTTTCGAACATTTTCGAAATTTAACTAAATACATTTTCTCGTATATTTCGGGCCGCAGAACTAATTTCCGGCCTCATTTCTTCGATAACTCGAACCGTTTTTCCAGAATCGCGTTTTTGAATTATCGCAATTTTTAAAAATTTCAAAAAATTCGAATTTCACTTGAAAAATTTTTAAAATTTTGCACCCACTTTTCACGTTTATTTGAATAAATGTCAGGACCGCCATTTCGGATTCTTAATTAGCGGAAGCTTATGTACAATTTGACACCAAATTTCGGTGAATTAAACCCAGTTGAACTAGTTTTTTTGTAAAAAATTTTGAAAATTTTTCACATTTATTTGAATAGATGCCATGATGGCGATTTCAGATTCGTAATTAGCGGAGGATTACTTACAATTTGAAGTCAATTTTTGGCCAGTTGAAGTCATTGTAACCAATTTTTTGGAAACATTTTTCACGTTTATTCAACTAGATATCTAGATGCTTAGATCATATAATAAATAGATACCAATACTCAAATTGGAAGCTGTGGCTAGACATGAAGCTATCTGTTGTCGTTTTCTACGTCAAGAGGAGTAGTATAATGCTATCCTTGTGTGATCACCACATCTTCATCTTTGTTATATGCATTTCATCTGTATATGTCTATTTCACTTCCATCCTTGCACCGCACCAGCGCAACAAATCGCTTTTGACAGATGTTTCTTCTAACCTCTCTTTCGAGTTCTTGTACGAGAAACAATTTTAGAATTTAGAACAAAGATCCTATTTCAAGTGATGTAATCATAACGGATCACAATTGCTGCCCAATAATTTACTATTCCTTTCGTTATCTCCTGTGAATTATTTATAAAATCAAGCTGTCAACATCTTTCGTACGAAGTTAGTTCAGACATACTTCCTAAAATTTAGGCGCGCAAAATTCAAATAGTGATCAGGCAAGGATAGCTTCATTGCAATCCCTCCATGCACAAGAGAGACGTGTGACAGGAGGATGTCGTCACAGGCTCTCCAAGGGAAAGAATACGGCGTGTTGGTATCTATTTATTATATGATCTAAATCTAGATGTCCATTTCGGATTCGTAATTATCAGAAAATTATCTATAATTTACATCAATTCTCGGTCGATTGAACCTATTTTAACTATTTTTCACCTACTTGAAGATTAAATCAATAATTAAGAGGATTAACAATTTTTTATTTTTCCAATCATTCAAAAAAATAACAAAAAATCCTTTTTGGTCAACTTCAATCTTCTGCAGCATTAGTTCATCGATAATTCGTAATCCAAAATTACCCAAAGAAAGTATGACAAATTTTGAGGTATACTAATAATTTTGTTTTGATCAAGATAATTTGAAAACGAGTCGATAACCTTAAAACGTTTGCAAGCTTTCAGACCATCCGGTTTTGTTAGTTTTTTTTGTTTTTGAAAATCTGAATGCCTAGAAGAAAAAGTCAAGGTGGATTCATAAACCACAAATAGAGGATTATGTTATTTTATAAAATACTAAGTTTTTTGTATTTTGATTAAAATTGTTGATGAGGTTGATCAGACAAATGTTGTTTACATCTCGGGAAGTAAAAATAATAATAAACTCGATATTTATTTTGTTCATTTTGGGCTTTACCTAACACTAAGCTAATACATTCCCGCGAATGATGTCAAAACTCGCAAACCCGAGCTCACCTCACATCGCTTGATTGCCCGCCATTACCATCCACTTTGTGTCCTCATCACGTCTAATTTATCAATTTTCCAATTTCCAGCCATGATTCGGCAACTCGAGCAGCTCAAGAAAGACCGAATAAAGAACGGCGTCCTCTCCCCCGGCGGCAACTCGCTGAAATCCGGCGGCAGCTTCGGCCGCTCCCACGGCGCCTCCTCGGAGAACTCGCGCCAGCTCGGCCAAGACAGCTACGAGTGCGTCGCCCTGCACGTCAGCCCCGACCTCGGTGAGCGCATCATGCTGTCCGGCGACCGGTCCCTCCTCGACGAGGTGTTCCCCGAGACCAACCAGGCCATGATGGACGCCCGCTCCGGCGTGGCCTGGAACCAGCAGGACGTGCACCACGTGATCCGGTTCCCCCTGAACGGCTACTGCAAGCTGAACTCGGTCCAGGTGATAACCAGGCTGCTCAACGCCGGCTTCAAGCTGGCGGCGAGCAACGGGGGCGGCGTCGAGGGGCAGCAGTTCTCCGAGTACCTGTTCATAAGGAAGATCCTACCCGGCTGACGGGATACCATCGCACTTGTCGACAATCAGCGTTCGTGACGCAACAAATGGTTTATTTATGTTCGAGTTAGTTGTAATTTATCATCCTATTGTCGAGATATGCCTTACTTTAGTTTGGAAGATGATCTAATTGTTAATACGTTTGTTTGCTAGTGGTTAAGTTTAATACTATGTAAATAATTATATTAATATTGTATTTTTTCTTGTTCATGGGTTGAGCATTTTTTTCGCTGATCTCATTAGATCTATTCGGCTGTGATCCGTTTAAGAATACAGTGACGACTGGATGCTACGGCAGCTGGCGGATCGACCATTATACTGTTGTAAAGTGTGCTACTTCACAATAAATATTAACTATTAATAACTATAGTTATTTCTTGTTGGGTTTGTTCTTGAGATCCTTACTAAATAAACGGTTACCCCTTTTAGAAAAATATACAGATCCTTGTTTGTACCGTTCCTAAACTGTACACCTACACACTCTCAAAGCTTTTTATCAAATTCTACTAATAACTTATCATAAGAAATTGTTTTCTCACCTAGTTTGTCATATTTAAGAAATCGTCACCAATTTGTTAAATTAAGTACATAATATCACGCTACATCGTCCAGTATACTACAAGGATCTCGTCTGGATCCGGTTCTCTTCTATTTATCTACCAATGACGTAACAAATGTGATCAAATGTCTACGACTGCAGATTGCACGAACATGTTTAAACCAGTTTCAAGTAATTTTTGGTTCTATATTGCAGTCAAGCAGCATTCTCAATGAGAAAACCAAATTCTTACTAGTGTTTCATTTCGGGTATATTGCTAGAAAATGGTACTAAAATTTACGGCAGTTAAGGCTACCTTAATATATTAAGCTTATTAGGACTTCTAAAGAGCCAATCAGTATCGTTTCCACAACTGTGTGTATCTACATAGGACTTCTTTTCATAAGAGTCTGTCAATGACTTTAATATCATTTTACTAACCATAGTTATTAGTACTAGGATAGCGTTAGCCATTGTGATAGTCATCAAACGTAGATAGTTGATGATAACTGTAATCACAACCCCAAATATTCAAAATTAGAATATTAATTTCAAAAATAGTTCTGAGTAAATAGTTTATCTTGGTCTATGTTTTTAAATAAACACTCAGAAATGTACAGGGTAATATGGCCTGATGATATTAAAATTACAAACACTTATTAGTATTACTGTTAACGAATGTATACATTACAATCAAAAACAGAGTTAAATCAAATAATACAGTTACAGTGATATTAGCGATTATTTTTTACACAAGGAATTCTATCCGATAAGATCTGATCACATTTCACGAAGGAATTAAAGCGTTATAATCATCACCATTCACCAGTAGCATAATCATCATCATCATCACTGTCAAGATCTGCCTCAAGATTTAAGTGACATCCGCACAGATCAGTGATCAGCTTTCATCACAAGCGTCCAAAAACTGACTAGTTTTCTGTTTACAAACAATGTTTTGGTGTATCTAGTTTGCACATTTTTCGACATGTCTTTATGATTTTCACTTTTTGGGTACAGGAATAATAAATAACACCACTAGTGTACCTACAATACTGTCAACTCAAATTTCAGATAACAGTTGTGGAGACTTCTTTTTTAGGATATCTGTAATATATCAATCGGATATCGAAAAAAAGTCCTCTAGTAGGCCATGAAATTTATTTGCTAAATAATGTTGTCGGCATTGCAGCAATTTGACAGTTTATTATTATAATTATTAGACAGTTTTTGTCTGTGTTTGTGTTGACAAAAATTTTTTTTTTGACATTAAATTATAAAGGTTGATAGACGGCTTTTTTCGATCGTAGGATATAATATAGCGTTCTCGAGCTAAAGGTTTGTCAATTTTTGTATTGGTTTATTAGTGCAGGTACTGTTCCCACCTTCTCGTTTTTGTTTATTACCAACGCGAATTTTTCTTCTGATTTAGTATGGCATGTATTCGTGATTTTCAGTAATTTTTCAATATTAACTATTAAATTAATGTCTTCATATAATTTTATAGTAGAAATCTCGTTGCTTAAAGAGTATTCAATTTTTTGGTGGATCATAACGTATATTTTAAGCAAGACGCCTTTATCACAACAGTGGTGTCCCTTGAAGCTGCTAATAAAGTTGTTCTATTATTGACGTTGGAACAAAGGTTAAGTAAAATGCTAACCAAGTTATTTATTTGTGACAAACCTCGCTTAAAACAATTTTATTATTTTTCAGAATGATTCGTTTTGTCAATCCGTTCATCACCGAAATTTTTCCTTTCCAATCATGTTGTCTTGAATATTTTTTGTAGATTTGGGGTTTGAATGGGGCTATAATATCGTTAAAATGTGTTAAAATATTGTTACGTTGATCGGTGATTGTAAAAACACAGCAATTATGTACACAATAATTCCGACTGGAATGGATTTGGCTAGACTCTAATTTCCCTACTATCCGGACTTCACTCGTTTGTTCAGACTGACTTGTTCCCGAAGGTGGCCTCTATTTAAACCCATACATAAATTTCTAGATGTATTGCAATCGAGGTCTTTCTGGAATACCCATCGCGACCTCCGCTTCCAGGCTTTTCGTTAGCGGACACCACTCGTCCGCCGTCACCGACGATGAGTAGAAAGCTCTCGACGGTCCATAGTTGTCGTACCGGGGCGGCGTATGGATTTATGTAGATGGTAAAACGCTAACCAAAACTTGTCTGATCATCCCCATACTCTTGTACTTGTGGTTTATGAATTCGCCTTGAAAGAGTCTTTTATCCAAATTTTCACAAAAACAGCTAGGAGTATTTAAATCTGGAATAAAATATTGAATAAAAAATTAGTTGCAGGTTATTTTAATAGAACTTCTCTTGCCCTCGAAGTCTAGTCCGACAAATCCCATTTCTTTAAAATTATAAAATTTGATTTTGCCATTTTCGTTTTGTGATAACGTGTATAAACTAAAAACCCGTGCCGTAGTTCACACTTCCGTAGTCCCTGTGTCACGGGGGCACACAAATGTGGACAATATGAAATATTTTCAAAGCAAATAACAAACGAGAAAAATGTAGATATTCTTAGTTTCTCAGTACATTCTTAACTTCGACTGTTTAGGTTTATACTTCCAAAGAATTCGACTATTAGCACCTTCAGATTACAAGTGTCAGTGATTAAAAAAATGAAAATTGTTTAATTTTGTCTCTTCAAGGCAGAGAAGAGGACTGATTAATTAATTAACCACACTCAGTTTTTTGCCCAAAACACTCTTAATTTTAAACGTTTTTTCGTCAGAATTGTAAGATGATTTTTGAAAGATCATTTTTTGTCATTATGCTTGCTTTTTAATTTTAAAATGTTTACAAGATTTCAGACCATTCGGGTTTGTAATTTCAAAGTTAAATTATAAAATACAGTTTTGAATTTTTTCTCAAAAATCTAGATGTCTAAGGTATCACTTTTTTTGAAGATATGAAACCAAAAATTTTAATTAACAATTTACCATGCTTGCGATGACGTTAAAAGGCTTGCCAGTTTTCAGAACACTCGGTCTTGCAGTCTCAAAGTTAAATTGTAAAATGTTGTTATACAATTTTGCTTTTTTTCTTAAAAATCTGGATCTCTAGGATAAAAACTTGGACAGATTCATAAACCACATGTGCAGGAGTATCTTATTTTATAAAATTTAAATATTTACTAAAATAAAATTTGGTGATGACGTCATCCTATTGTTGGTGGGGAAGATTAGACAAATTTTGGTTAATCTACACGATATTCCTAGTACATATATAAATTTTGACAACAATGGGTCTAGTAGTTTCGGAGATTAAAAATACGGACAGACGGTAAACAGACAGGCAGACAAACAGAAACGGGCAGTGGCGGCTCGTCAGATGAGGCAAGTGAGGCGGCGCCTCACAGCATATATCTTAAGAACAGATTGACTTAATTTATAATTAAAAAAGAGTTTTCAATGCATTTTTAGTTACAAAAATATGTTGAAATGGGAAATCTGTACAAGATTTTGTATTTTTACGCTTCCTGCTGACATTTTCCGTTGAATACCGTACGATTTATGCCCCTAGTTCTTTAACTGAAGCGGCCAGAACGTCGCTTCACTTGAACCAGCGAAGGCCAATCACAGACACGGATTTCCATGGCTCAGCTCCTATACTCCTATACATGCGTACGCTCGGAACTGAGGCGATATCTTCGGTGCTTCTCGGCCAATTTCGGCGTACTCATTAAACCATTTTTCCATTTATTTTACAGAACAGCAGGGTTGCGGGGTGCGTGGGTAATTAGCATAGACGTGAATAAAAACCCACGTGTTGGTGTTTTGTGTTATATTCTCTTTCATAGGTACAGGTGAGTGAAAAATGAATCCCGAGTACGATATCGTCGTGTTGCTTCTTGAAACGCCGTTTTCACGGCGAATCGAGTTACAACGTCGGCAAATTTTGCTAAATATCGAGCAGTCAAAACCGTTAATTCATTTAACTTCCATTGATAAGCGACAGAATCGTCAGTACTCCAAGTATTTTAAATCAACTTGGTACCTACGAAACATACGAGTATAAATGCCTCTGCCGTAATATTTACACAATATCCCGGGATATAACGATTTAAAGAATTTCATCCGAAGTGCAAAATTACATGAAAGTTCCAAAGTACACAGAAGAAAGTGCTACTTTCAACAAAATTTTGACTTGTAAAAACATTGTTGATTCAATGTGTTATGGGTGTTATTATTATTATTAGGACCTACCACTGACCCGGGAATGACCGGTATTCAGGCAAGACTTCTATCATTACCAACTAGTAAGACCAAGTAATATTACTATTATTATGAAACTTCTATCATCGCCTCACCACATCAGACAGTCACGAGCCGCCACTGGAAACGGGAGACCTATATTTTCTACTCTACTTTCCAAACAAGTGTATAAAGATGTATCTGAAAACTAATTTAGCTGGGTAAATGTTTTTGCAAAATTTTATTAGTTTTTAATGATTTTAATAACAAAAGTTTTTTATTTGACAATTCTCAGATTAGTTTTATTTTAAAATTGTGATAGTTTAAATTGGTTTCCTCAGGGTATTTTAAGGTAGTATACTAAACTCACTTGAGATACACTCTGTAAAACTTTTATGACTTAAGGGGCTTAAGCCAAAGCACCCTTATAAGTCAAACTGGCTATTGTATAACTTAACTCAGTTCAGATATACATAGTAAAACTTTACAGCTCCATTATGGCAACAATCGACAGTAATAATCCTTGCGGTTCGGGTCCATAAAGCTTTGAGTTATAAGGGTGGTTTGGCTTAAGCCCCTTAAGTCATAAAAGTTTTAGGTG